ATGTAAAACTGTCCCTCAGGTGGAGTGCACCCGTTTGCTTGCTCCGAATGGGGCCCCTCTAGTTGCCGCGTCCTACGCTCGTCAGACGTCATCCTTGGGGTTTGGACACAGCTCACAGGATGTAACACGCCTCATGGAATCACAGTGAACGGGAAAGTAAATGGACAGCTCCTAACTCTACGATTTTATTCTTTATGTGCTCATGCTCTACACCCACGAAATATCGAGGTTATAGACGAGCCGCCACTGACTGCCAGAGCACGAACCTGTCCTCGTTACATAGCGATAAGCGGACTCTTCATTTTGTGCCACAAAAAGACGAGTTTTATACAGGCTCTGGTGCATTCATTAAGTCCACTTTAAGGAAGGTTGGAACAGCATTCTGAGGTGCGAACGAACACCAAGTGGAGGGACGAGACACTGGACAGGAGGCACAGGAATTTAGATGAAGGCCGCGGGTTCGATTCCCGATGAGGTCATCGGATTTATCAATTTACATAAATCTTCCAGCCGCACTATGACCATGGTGCCTATTCAACCTCTAACAGAAATGAGTACCAGGGATCTTCCTGGGGGTAAAGGGAGGCCGGAGCTTAAGGTTGAAAACCTCACTGCCATCTGTGAGGTGAGTAGCTAGAAAATACAGCAGCCTCAATGCCTCACAATCCTATGGGCCTCCACGGCCTGTTGCAGGGGTAGGCTTTCTTTTCTTTACGCAGGAATTAGGAGGATGACACGGCGCAAGAATACAGAGGAATGACAGACAATGGAGGACATAAAGCGAAATGGAAGACAACGCTAAGAGAGCAGCATGACAGTGAAATAGAAATCAGTTCACGTGACCAATAATCAGCAGAGGCAGAAGCAGGATATACATAATTAAATTGACGAGTTTTCTGCAATATGAATTGTAATGACCAAGATGCTGGAATGCAGGAATGGGGATCCAAACTCGGGGCACCTGAAGCGTGAACTGTACCGGGCCCAATAAATTATGCATTCACACATCCATTAAGCACATTTTATCGTGCCACGCCTTGACTGGTGATTTGTGTGAAGGAAACGTGCATTTGTGAATCACTCGTCGATGTATCTAGTCCTTACAGGGGGGGGAATGGATGTAGGCCGCAGCGTAAAGCGATTTAATTGGGCACGGGATATAGTCCATGAAGCCACTGTGCGTCCACTTACGTTCTATGAAAGAAAACAGTTCAAAGAAATGTTCATGCATATCAGGGACCTGGTTAGGTGACTCGGCTGTTCCCAACTCAGAAATTCGTATGTCCGGCCAACTGTAAGAAGTCGGACAGTGTGACCTTCGTGCGGCCTCTAATGGTACAAAGTTCAGCGAGATTTCGTAAAGATCAGTCAAGAGATATTTAAAAAAATGTGATGGACAGCTACACAGCATGGCGATTTCTTACGTCAATTTGCTTCCCTGAGGAAGCCAGATTGGGCGTAGCGGAAATGCTCTACGGTCATATTCAAGAAGTGCTCGGTTCGAATCTCTGCAGGGACACCAACTATCCTGATTGAGGTTTCCGTAGATTTCCTTAGACGCTCCATCCTCAGTTATTCCAAGACCATTTCCTTCTAAATCCTTTCATGTTCACCATTCGACAATCGTCCTGTCATTTTACGTAAAATAACTCTGAAAAGTTAACAAAATGAACTTGCCGCAGCTTCTACATTTTTCAGTAGGTTGGTAAAGGCAAAGTTTGTTACCGTCACATAAAGAAGAGGTGAGGGGGAGTGGAGGTATAGCTCCACCATTCTTGACCTCGGCACTACATGGAGTTAAGTGGTCAGATTCACTTTCCGGCTGCTTTATCACCGGGGAAAGAGCCTCGTGTACCTTCTGGAAAGGAGGCTGAGTGGGCCACAGAGCTGGAAGAGAGAAAACATCTTGCCCGTGCCGGGAACTGAGCCCTGATACCACGGATCTCATAGCGTGGTACACGGTAAGACAGAAAATAATGCAATGTAGTAAACGATGAAGAGGGATTCGGAGCTGGACGGTCACATCTCCAAAACTTATTCTGAGCGAAACTAATGACGCAAACAAACAAAACGGCAAAGCAGAGAATAAATTGACGCGTTATGTCCTTTGTGAATATGGACACAAGATTATGACAATATTCCCAGAGAAAAACTACTGCAAGGAACGGGATGCATGGGAGTACATCAGAAGTGGATTCGAGGAAACCTTCGTGTAAGAAAGGGGGGGGGGTCCGTGAGAAATGTGTGTTAGTTCTCGTTGGACAAACTTAGTAATAACTTTTGGGTTAAATGGGGATACGTGGAAGCATCTCCATAGTTTTTTCGCATTAATATCTAGCTACTGTGGCGTATAGACCCGTTGTTAAGCGGTGACTCTGTAAACAGCGATCGTTTCTGGGCAACGGCTCGGTAAACACGTTCCGTTGACTGGCAGCATATTCCTAATAACGCAACAGCAGAAGAGTTGTTTAATATTCACCGGGCAGCCACCTATAATGAATAAAATCCGTCCAGTCGCTAAGGAGCTGTAGACGGACATATCCGTACGTGCATATACTGTATATCCAGACTGACAGTATTCCAAAACCCAGTTCCCAATATTCACGCGGGCACAAGACGTGTAAATCCGTCAAAATATCGAAATCGATTCTTTTATTCACCATCACAGTACTTTCTCCTACGCATGCGTGAAATTAAGAATGAAGTCTTAGCCTAAATGAGACCGACTACCTGTGTGTCGGGGAAGAAATAGAAATTTTTTTTATTTAACTCCAATAATTATACAATCTATCCATTAAGTGTGGATAATAAGTACATTTTGTGGTTTACATATAGAAAAGGAAAGAGAATACTTGACGTGGTGACCATGTTCCAATGAACATGCTCAATACTTATTTTAACTGCTTAGTAGTATGCAGTTAAGTGTTGTATTATTCGAATCTGGGTAAATCTGATGGTTTAAATCTGCTTAGCCTCCTGATTTCCCCTTCGTCGTCGAGCAGTTTTTGTGCCAAGTCGTTCGGATGGGCCTGGAGTCTGATTTTATACTTTTTGCTGTTTTTTTATTTCCTCTCGTACTGTTGGTACATCTAGGTCCTTGTGTAGTACCGTGTTCGGCACATACCACGGTGCGTTAACTATTATTCGTAATACTTTGCTTTGAAATCGTTGGAGAATTTCTATGTTTGAGTTACTGGCTGATCCCCATAATGGTATCCCGTACGTCCATATCGGTCTGAGCATGGTTTTGTACAGTAAGATCTTGTTTTCTGTCGATATTTAGAGAATGCGGGCTGTAGAAAATGTCGTGTTACGTTGGGGTGAAAAGTAGTCAGTGGCTGACAAATTGAGTAGTAAAATAGGGACTGGAGCATATGATTATTTAGGCCATGGTTGTTGAACTTAAAGTCACTGAGAGGCCGCGTTGCTGCTTACGTATGTACCAGCACGGCACATTTTACAGTTTCCCCTTCCAATATATGGATTCAAATTTCTGTCATGCAATGACCTGCATATTGAAACCGATTTGGATGTACGGAGTTCAACTGTGGGGGTGTGCTAAGCCTTCGAACACCAAAATAATTCAAAGACTCCAATCAAATGTACTGCGTTCCATAACCAACGCCCCATGGTATGTCTCGAACTTTACATTACACAATGATCTTCAAATCCCATTCGTCACAGAAGAAATCAAAAGATATTCTACCATATACCACAACCGACTAATGGGACACGAAAACAGTTGCGTAACTGAACTAAGCAACCCATTAAACATCAGACGAAGACTAAAACGACAATGGCCCTCAGACTTAAAAGAACACAGTGCTGAAGATGGGTAGCCGTACTCAACATAATGCAGAGCATACTACATAGGAGAATCATCACTGGATGATCACTCCGCACAAGTGATTTCTTACAACATATTTACTTATTGCTCCCTTGTAGAGTAGATTCTAATTGCAAGAAGTAATTAAAAAAAATGCAACGACCAGACCTCGATACACAAGCACACGAATAAGAATATATTTTAAGAAAGAGGAACAAATTAAGAAACTTTTCGGGTAATGAATTAACTCTCTCGCGGGCCGCACAAAACAACAGGAGGGCCAAGGTTAACCCTCGTGTCCTGAGTTGGCTAGATGTGATTGGGCTAAGAATATTTCAGGAGACAAGGGAAAATATTGAAGAATGAAACAGAATGGGAACAAATGGGTGCTGCATTATCACTGATAAGAAACAAATGACTATTATGAACAGAGGAAGTTTACTGATAAAGAATGTGCAGCATTGGTCACCATAAGGAATAATAATGTTAGTAATAGTTTACTAAGGACTGTTGATTGCCAAATTACTTCAAACTCTTATCTACAGCACAACTTGCACGTGGCCTGAGAGGGAGGCGGACATATTGAAATTAAGAGCTTCTTCTACACCGTCCCTAGTAATGACCCTGTAAGGCAGTGGTTTCTAAATTCTGGGAGGCCTACCCTGGGGGTATGGGACTGGTTGGTTACGGGAGGGGAGGGGACGCAAAATATTCCGGAAAATTTACATACTAAAATTCAATAGATTATAATCCCATTACTGACATTTGTAAAATTCTTGATAAATGTTTATTGGCAAAAGAATTAATTTTTTTTGGTTCTAAGAAAGAAAAGCTGGAAAAGCCGTTCTTCATATACAGACAGACACACATAGAATTAAGAGGGCGGGGCGCGAAAGAAATCTTCGCTAGACTGAGGAGGCACTATTATATAGTTTCGGAAACCACTTCCGTGTTTACCGTAAAGCTCATAGAATCCTGATGGATCAAGAGTGACAAACCTCAGAGCAGTGTAGTTGAGGTTTCGAACCCGAGCCCGCCCGGAACGCAAGCAGGGTGCACTGTACGCAAGTGTCCTCGCAGATGATCACGGATCCTGAGATGACGTACACACACGCACGACACTAGTAACGTCAGCACGCGCAGCTACCGTGGCTGATAACGCACAAGTACTTACCGTTCTGTTCAGCTCGCACCTTGGCCTCTCCGCGTGCCGCTCGCTCAGCAAGTCCGTGGCAGACTGCTCGCGTGCTTGTCCCTTGCGTCTGCCATTGACATTACAGGAGTCGTGCAACTGGGTCAGCGCTCTTCTTAACATTGTCTGGCGTTAACTCTCGTACAGAACACGAAGCCCACATCCCTGACACCTGCCTGACTCCACTGTGCAGAATGCTTCCTACAAACTAACAGTTGCTTATCTGCTCGACAATTTCCCAGCGTTTTGTGGAACCAGAAAGTCCTTTCCAGTCCTGAGCCAGATACATCCAGTCCAAACCTCCCATCCAGTTTCTTTAAGATCTATTTTAGTAATATTATTGTTTATTATTCTTAGTGGGGTTATACCGAGTACACTTTTTACTGCGGCCGCTATTGACCTATTGTACCAACCCCAGATGATAGGTAAGGGTGATTGTGGAGCAATTGATGGAATGAAGATTGGCAGGGGAAACCGAAATACTCGGAGGAAACCTGCCCCACCGCCACTTCGTCCACCACAAATCCCACATGACCAGACCTGGGCTTGAACCAGGGTCGCTGCGGTTGGAAGTCAGCGACTGACCGCTTGAACTATGGCACGGCTTTTCATTTTAGTATACTTTGATGTGTATACCTATTGCTAGGCAACGGGTCGGTAAACATATTCCGCAACACGCGCACGCGACAATAGAAGGATATTCATTGCTAGGTAATGGACCAGTAAACACGCATTATTGACAATAGAAGACGATGTTTTACGTGGGGTCCTTGCCGACGGGACGGAGTACAGCGAAGCATACAGCAGTATTCTGGAGTAGCTGAGGCAAGCCTTCGGAATTGGCAGCTGCAGTGATGGCAAGAAAGGAAGTAGACGGTGCCAAGATGACTTCATGTGTGCTTTGAAGTTACAGTGAGACTGTCATAAATCCCTTGCCAGGATACGACTAGTGAAGATTGGGAATCATAGTGCGTGTGCAACGGTAAACTGAAAGTGTGTAGAACAGTGATAGCGCTGTAATTGTCTATAGTCCCGAGTTGTGTGACTGTGTGAGGCGTTAATAAATCCAGTCATCCACTCCAAAGCTTGTAAGTCACCCCAACACATGACAGAACTATTATCCCCTCATCTACTCCTAGGTCTTCCATGTGGTCTCTTTCTCTGACGTTTTCGTATCAGAACGTCTTATGCGTTTGTCTTCTACTCCATACATGCTTCAAACCACACCCATTTCCTCCTCCCTGGTTTTATTTTCGCCAGGAGTACAAATTATGATGCTCATCAATGTACAGATCCCTCCAACCTTTTGTTAGGTTCAAACATTACCCTCAGCACCCTGTTCTTAAATAACCCCATTCAGTATTTTACCCTTACAATAACTTCAGCTTTATCTACCTATCTCATTGTCGATCATTCAATGGCAATTTTCGTATTAGTTTCCTTTAAAAAATTCGGTATCCCATTTTCGAGCTGCATGTCCAGCCCAGCGTAAGGTTCGTGACGTAACTGTGAGATATTTCGTAGCTCGTTGGTACACACTTTATGCTTACGACCATTTAAGTGACTAAGCTGCTAAGCAAATAAAATCAGGCACAAAATTAGCCTGCTGTAGGAAACATGAGCAGTAATTATGTAAAACGTGTAAATTTGTCTATGCTTAGGAGCCGGGGTAGAGTGGTCGGTATAGCGACTAGCTACGGGCTGGATGACTGAGGGGTCGGAGTTCGACTCCCTGTAAGGTCAAGAGTTTTCTCTTCTCCAAATCGTCCAGACCGGCTCTGGGGTTCACCCAACCTCCTATCCAATGGGTAGAGGAGGCTCTTTCGACGGGGGTAAAGCGGTAGAGGCCGAGATCAAGAAAATGTGGATCTATACATCCACTTCCCCATATGCCTTAATGGCGTAGTACTTAAATTCGTTGAGCACAGGGATAATTTTATCTTCATGTATATGTCTACTGTACATACGTAGAACTACAAATCTTTCGTGAAAGATGCGCCGTGAAGGCTAGACTCCCAGAATGTGATGCGAAAATCGGGTCATAAACCCCAAGAGGGGCTCGACAACAAAACATACAGATGTACCGTCCATCGTAAACTGACTTACATTGCGTTGTATAGGTCCTGATGGTCCTGATCTTTTTCGTTCCCTGTTCATCGTTCCCCTTGCGGACTCGGCAGTTGCTTCTCGCACACTTTCATTTCATGTCAACTCACTGCATTAAGACCACGTGCAGTAACCATGCAGACCAGCTAGTAAAATGGTGCTGCTGTCCCCAACAACAACAACATAAAACCACGTTGAAGAAAATTGCATACATACAACTACAAATTGCGGTTTTTGTGAAAAAATGTTATTATCATTATTATTATTATAATTTGGGGCATGCGGTAGCTGATTGAGACACTATGCTACAAGCCGGAAGGTCGCGGGTTCGAGTCCCGATGAAGTGTTTTTTATTTAATTTACCTAATCCTTCCAGCCGCACTATGACCCTAGGGTCGACTCAGCGCCTAACAGAAATGAGTACCAGAGATCTTCCTGAGGGTTAAAGGGCTGCCGGCGCGTAAGTCTGACAACGTTACCGCCATCTGTGAGTCGATTGTCTAGATAATGTGGGAGCCTCAGTCTCTCCCAACCCTATGGGCCTTCACGGCAAGTTGAGCTGTACTGAATATGTTACACAACAGCGATACCCACAATATATCTAACAGTCATTAACTTTGGCGAAGTCGTTCTGAAAAATGGATCGGGACTTTTTTGGATCGCCCTGAATTATGTAAATTTTGTGTTTCTACCTCACAGAAAACACTGCGTCCCGTTTACAAGGTCAGCCTTTTGTTGATGTGTTGGTAAATAGCCGCGGCCTGTTCTGAGAATCATACGAAACGCGTACATGCTTTCGGAAAGTGCACAGTGTTTACCGTTAAGCCAGGTGGTACATATATAGTAAGTAACCAGTGCTCTTTAATGGGTCGGGGGAAGAGATTGCCGAAACTCGCTGGAGCAGATTCATACCTGGCGGCCAGATGCATCACGGTGCAACCCTCGAGATCCGTGTCCCGCAGGCTACATGCAGTGTGCTGCAACAACCACTTCAAGGCAGCAAGTTGTCCCAGCACAGCCGTGTCGTGCAGAGGCGTAGCACCCACCAGAGTCTGGGGCGCCGTGTCGCGCGCCCCGGCAGTCAGCTGTCTCAGCACCGCAATATGGCCGCCGCGAGCGGCATGGTGCAGGCATGTGGCTCCCTGACAGTCGCGCACGCGCAGGAGAACCTCTCGGCCATAGCGTTTCTGAAGCGTCTGGATGAGGTGAACGTCGCCCCGACGGCACGCCCGCAGAAGCACTGCCGGATCGCACCGGCCTGTCATTGCGTCGCGTTACGTCACGAGATCCTCAGTAACCAATATCATTATCAACTCAGCTTCACAATTCCAGCAAAAAAAAAAAAAAAGTTACTGACATTTACCAACATCATCAACAGGAAGTGCGAATAATGCCTGCAATAGTTGGTGACACTGCCATCAGAGTGAACATGCAGCTGCAGTTTCCCTAGCAACCAGCACAGCGAGTAACTGACAATAACAACGCAACAATGTCTCCAGGAGCTCAGAACAATGCGCACTGAGAGCTGTTGCTAAGCGACCAGACTCGTCTCCAAATCCGTGATTAGCAAAACTAGTGAAAGTGCGTGTTTATGCAAGTCGCTTCCTTCCGGCCGTTGCGCTAAGCCGCGGGTTCTGTCGCAATGTCAGAGGAACCCGTCGTACAAGAAAAGTTGTCCCTGTTGTTAATTAAGCACCACGCCATGAAGACATATAGGACAGTGGACGTATAGCGCCATGCATTCTGAACCTAGCCACAAGATGAAGCTGAGAGGCTGAAAGCTGAGTCCCCGGAGGAAGAGCCTACAGAACCATTTAGATACTGGACTGAGCGTGGACGAGGTGGAAGGGGAAAAAGTACCGGTAGGAGTAAAATTTTTCTCCTTTCCACGTCGTTCAGACTGGTTCTGGGGCCCACCCAGTTTCCTATCCAATGGGTACGGAGGGAAAGTGGCCGGGGCGTGAAGATGACCACTCACCTCGAAGTAGTGCCGTGGTCAAGAATACGTGGATATATACGTATAATACCCATTTCCCCATACGTCTTTGTGGCATACTGCTTAATTAATTAAGTACAGATATATGTACCAAAATGCATAATAAAGATGGAGTCACCTAACGCAGCAGTCTCGAAAGACTGAAGCATTAAGGTCAAGCTGTAAGCCATATCTTTGCAGTGTTAAGTTTATAAATTTCAGATGCACTTCTTTAAGCGACCGGAAGCTCTAGAGTTATGTAATTCCACAGCCATGCAGCTCTCTTGATGTTGCACTGACTTACATGTTTCATAAAAGACCATTTTTCTTAAGAAGTTGACATTATTTTGCAAATATATTTTCAAGTAAATCGCTCTAAAGCCAGCACACACACAAAACACCCAGTTGCATGTTTACTGTAGTTCATAAGCGCAGAGCCTCTGCTAAAGGAAAACTAAAAGGCTATATTTCCTATTCACACAGCGGTGGATGGTGACACTGTGTAGCGTGGTAGGAACCTTCTCTGCTTGCCGACTGTTTCTTGCTGGTTACATACTTCACTTACTTTTCGATAAAGAAGGAGGTAGTAGCTCCTCCGAAAGCTGGTGATCTTCTACGAGACTGAACGGTGTCATATTCCAGAAGATAGTAGCCTACCCTTCTACAACAGTAAAATTAAACCTGTTAATGGAAAAGGTAAATCTGTCGCTATAACAGGCCGTGGAGGCAGATAGGGTTGTGAGACGTCCAGGCTCCCACATTTTCTAGACAATCGGCTCAAAGATGGTGGTAAGGTTGTCAGCCTTACGCTCCGGCCGCCCTTTAGCCCTAGGAAGATTCCTGGTACTCATTTCTCTTAGAGGCTGAGTCGACCCCAGGGCCATTTAATTAAACACCATCCCAGAATGACATTGGCGGCAGGGGGATGGGGGTGTAAGTCCACGCGTGTAATTCCTG